GATACTTTCGGACTCACAGTCAGCAATAAACTCTATTGGAAACAGAGAGACACCCAAAACAGCTGAGATAAAGGAATGTAGAAAACTCTATGAGCTGCTGAGAGAGAAAAACAAAACAGTGGTCCTGCAATGGATTCCTCGTCACTGTGGCATTAAAGGCAATGAGATTGCTGACACACTTGCTAAGAAGGGGACAACAATTTTGCAATGCATGGACCGGCCCATGTCTTTCCACACAATGAAGGCCTTAATCAGGAGAGAATTCCAGACCTCAAGGTACAACGAACTCAAAGCTCGAACAAAGGAGAAACAGTGGACAGTGGCACTCTCCGACATACCCGACTGGCCAAGAATCGAAGCCGTTGCTGAGTTTAGACTACGTACCGGACACGATTGCTTGGCAAAACACCTTCACAGACTGGGAGTATACACTCAACCCACATGCCCTCTATGTAACCTACATGAGGAAATGGAGAAGACCCACCTGATTCGGTGTCCAGCTCTAAAGACAAGGATGGAAAGCCAAAGATACTGGGAAGCAAGAAGACTGCTAATGAACTGCTATTAATTAACTGCTATAAATGTACCCCCCCACTCTGGGGGAAGCTGAAGTCAAAGATTAAGGGCTAATGATAAATATCATAAAGCCTGCCATTTGAAATAAAAATATATAACTACGTTATACTATGAATATTTCAAACTTATTCGTTTCTTAAATAGTGACTTTTACAACTCAAAAAGCAAATAAATTTGTGCTATATAAAGCTGATATTTGTCTTTCCATTAATCAAATTAAAGCTGGAAGGAGTCGAAAGGACGGATCATTATGACTTTCCATAACGACCTAGTTAACTCTATTTTACATTAGCAATTTAAGTATTTAATTCAAGGCAATTGTCATTTTACAAATATATACTGAATTAGAACCAATCTCTTGGCCTCGTTGGATCTTCTAAAAAGCGAGTTTCATAAGACATTTTTTATTCCCACAACAACAGTTATAGGATTATTAATATCTCTGTGTGGTTATTTTGACCATGAGTAATAGGTTGTCATATTATCTTTTTAGAACGCCAAACATTTTTTACCATCTGCTATGTCAAACCACTTCTGACTGATCCTACCGTTAGTTACGTTGTCGGGCTGTACTTTAAGAACCATCAAAGATAACTTTTTGAAGTCTTAGTATTTTTCAGTTAATTTGAATTTACCAATTCAAAAACAATCTTGGCTAGTATCCGAATCTTGATTTTTAATAATAACTTCACAAATTAAATTGCTTCCTATCCTGTTCCCCACATGCAACTTAAAAAACCAAAGTCAATTTAGGTTCAAATGTTGAATGTTATGAGACTCTTCATTATTTGGTTATTTAGCATTACTAAAATTGTAAGTACATGCCATTTTGGTCCCTAGAGCGATTGTTCGTATAGTGAAAAACCGGGGCCAAGTTTTTAAATTAAAAAACTAGTCCTATCGTAAAGCTCACAACTGAGGAGGTGTAAATTTTCTCAAGTTTTAAAAATAGTTTCGTTCGATTTAACTTTTAAAAAATCAGCATTACCATCAAGTTTGCCAATTATTAATTTAAAATCACTTCAAGGAGTCTTGTTTTATAAATTAGGTTCTTTCTCATTTTGCCAGGAACATGAAAATTAAATATGTTACATATTATCAGCTTCGGTTTGAAAGCATTCGGGTAATCTCAAGCGTGAAGTGAAAAATCCATATTGAATTATATAAAATCCAAATCATTTACCCTTTTAACGCAACCACTTAGCGATCTAATTTTTCTTCCCGGATCGACTAAAAGACAATAACGATATCATCGAATTCAATCGGAATTTTTGAGGTTTGTTGTTTAACAACCTTGCACTACTCAAGATACAAAGGCTTATTCGCAATTGAGAAAGCCAAAATAAAGAGAAAATGTGAAATTTAAACATTCGTTGAAGAATTCGAGAAATCTAACAGTCCTTACACATTAAAGTAATGCAGTTTGTTAACTGTGATAGATGTCCATTAGTGACTAAAAAATATTCTTGCACACAATAAAAAATGGTTTGAAATTTGAATTTCTTCACGGCTCAATAGTTGCCATGACTCAGTGTGAGTTGCAAATCATGGAAATTAATTGGAATTCAGTTTATTTCAGCGGCACTATAATTCACCCTTACTTTTCCATTGAACATTTTCTATTTTAACGAATGTTTTGTAAATAACAGGGTGAGATTTGCGGACTGAGCTCGAGCGTTATTAAGGGAATATTTAAAAGCAGAATTAAAAAATAACATCAAATCACTTTGTCACATAAGTTATATACGAGTGAGATTCACTTGTTGTTGACAAAGTTTCCGCTTTCAACACTCTATCAATAATTATTTGAATAAAACCTGAGTGCCAATAATTATTTATATATATATATTGTTAGTGGTTCATTGTTAGAACCAAAAGTTAATTATCTTATGGAAGCTATAAGTAAATATTAGCTTTGAAAACATAATGGAAAATGGTGGTTTGTGCAAAATGACTAAAGTTGTAAGACTCTAAGAAGTTGGTAATTATTGATGCTTATTTTAAATTTTTAATATGATATTTATTCTCATATTGTTAAAAGCATTGGAGATAGGAGCGCTCGGCATAACGCAACTTGTTTCCGTATGTTATCTTCTTTAAGATCCTATATTGCTGGGCAGCTTTTTACGGAAGAGCAAGACTCAGAACATTCACAGAAAGATAAAAGGTCAAATAATGTCACCTCTCAGGGGTCAACTGAGCTTTCTGCTAACGACGATAATGACAACTTCGTTAGTAGTTTAAAAGGTAAAATTGCTTGAATAGAATAATGTTGCTTTAGGCTTCCTATCATTTGCTAGTGAATCATCAGCGAAAATAGCAGTTGAGTTAAAAAGAAATGCCAAACACTTATCCGAAAAGGTTTGACTGCTTTATTAAATTACTATTTTCTTTTAGATCGATATATCTAAACCACTTGCTGAATTCGATCGAGCTTATGCTGATTTTGTGGCTGAAAGGAATAAAGTTGTATCTGGAGAACCCTCCCTTTCGACTAGTATTCTCTATTCCGCCGGTGAGAATGAACCCGAGCTAGACGAAGAATCTCATAAACGCATTAAGGAAGAGATATTAAGACTCTCTTTAGATGAGCAAAATTTTATACGTCCACCTCCCCACGGTTCCTATTTTCGATGGTCTCCCCAAATATCAGCACTTCATATGCCATTGGCAAAGGCTTTGCTTGACGAGGACGGTAATCTCTCCTCCATGAGGTTTAAGCTAGTTCCGAGAAGGTTCGTTCTTACAAATCATCTATTATCAACGCCATTCACTTCGATTTTTTTCAGATCTTTGACATCGCTTTGTCGTTGAGACTATTTTAGCATTATCTTTGACTTATAGTCCTGTCGCCTATTTAGAAGTGAATTGTTTTATTTTTATTTTGACGTTTTTAAGAAAATTCATACCTTTCTTCATCGCTTTTGTTTTTAGCGAATATCGGTGCCCATAGTTCAATTATCTTTTCTTGCGCTTTTTTCAACTACTCATCTTTCTCTTTTCAACTTTGTTTTGTGAGTAGCTGTCATCGCTCTTTTATTTAGCATCACGTGCTTGGGCCTTTTAGGACCGAGACAATTATTTTGCCCCCATTTTTCAATTTTAGAATGAAGGAAGATGATTTTTGGCGAAACTACTTCTACCGTATTTCCCTTATTCGACAAAGTGAAAATTTACCCGGTGAAATACACTTTCCTAATGCTTCTAATGAAGGTAATGTTCATATTTTCTTTATAATATTATTCTTGGTTAGAAATGGATTTTAAAATGTTAATTTTTAAAATTTTCCCTGGCACTTGCCGATAAATTCGCAATGATATCAGCGTTTATTAGGTTTTTTTCGTTTTTTTTTCTTAATAAACAAATTGCTTCAAATTTAGCCTTATGGTGAATTCTCGCTTCGATTACTAATAATCGAATAAGTTAACCATTGTTTTGTTTATATTATTTTATTTTTCTTTGTTAAAGGATTATAATGAATTAATATTCATATTAAAATACAAGTGCCAGTAGTAGATTTTGTAGGCAATAGAAATAAAATTTCTCACTTAAATGTAAATCTTTCGTTTCGTTCCCATTTTGCACTTCGTAATTATTGGAATTTATGAAGCGTCCCCTTTTAAGTAAAACTTTGATACTTATTTCTACATAATCAATTCATTACTTGATTGTTTTGAAGTTGTCTTGTGCCTTTCTCTGCATCTAGATTTCTAGGTTCTAATGCTATTCATTGCTTGGCCCGATCATTCCTTAATACGTCATGTTGGGCAAAGTTAGGATTCTGTTTCTGCACATAATACTTATTTATTTCGAATGGCAGGCATTCTGATAGTTATCATTAGCCCTTTGCTTACTTCAAACTTCACGGAGGGGAGAAACATCAAAGTTGGAAAAATTCAAAAGGGTAGACCGAAGAGTGATTTGCATTTGTAAAAGAGACACATAATGATAGAGTAGGGTAAAGTGAGCATTGTAGAAGTGGTCGACTATGACATACAGTGAGGTCATGGTAGTTTGAAGTGAGAAATCAACTGCCGGTTAACAGACTTTTTTGCCGTATGAGTATACGTTGCCCAAGGTGCACCACGTGGAGGTAAGTCTATCGCTCATAATATAGAAAAGGTCTAATGGAAACCGTAATAACCATTTCACTATTTATCCTTATGGTATTCAAAAATAGTTATTGCTAGACGAATAATGCTCTGACACTACTCAATGGTATAACTATTTATGCAATGAGATAACAACTCAACTATTTGATATTTTTTTCCTTAACAAACTAGAGAACGAATCAAAGACGAATTCAACTCTATCGAGTGAAAATACTAAGGTAGATATACCCAAAGATGACGACTTGGAACAGAACCAATCTTCTACAATGTCTTCCGCCGTCATAAGTCTTTCCTCAGGTAAAGAATAATTTCCACAATGAATTCATTTACGAACTTTATTCGAGAATGTAACCTCCCTTAACAGATGACATCTTAGCTGCACTATTGTCGGAAGATGTCGAAATTACGGATGAAATTGACGAAGAACTAGAGAAAGAAATCCTTGCCGAATTAGATTGTCTAGAAGGAAAAGATGACCCAGTTCCGACATAATCTGTGATAGTTCTTACATATTTTAAAGTAAAGTAAAAATAAATGCTTCAATAAATACAAAAATTTCGCCTTATATTATAGATTGCAATATTAGGAAAAAAGGGGATTTATATTACAGTAAACACAGTTTTATAAAGCTTAGCGTTCGAGTTCCTTTATTTCCTGGACAACTCCGTCGTATTGCTCTTGGTAGCTTTCATGAGGTCGAATGCAAATGCAACTCGCGTTGATATTTGAAGCAAATGATTCTCCAAGATCGAATCTAGTAGCGACGTAACAATAAGGTATTTCATTCGCGTAGCAAATTCCGTGCAGATGCGAGATAGTGTCAACGGGACTAACATCTCCTGCCATAACAACAATACCCTCATTCTTTTTCTTGTAAACTTGTTTTATACAATCCTTTATCCCACAAGCAACTAATTTTTGAGCGCGGGCTTTCTTCATGAGTTTGGATATTTTTTTCTTAAGGCCTTTGTCGGCAAGAGGTTTGGCGATTGGACCAGCAAGATTAATCCTTTCTGAATATTTCATTCCTTTAAGAACAGTGATATAATCGTCAGAAGGGGCTTCGACTTCGACATCAGACATAATTGCAGCGTGTGTTCAGGCGAGCTTAATGACACTCTGAAATTAGCGGGTTAACTAATGATATTTAAAACGAATGGTTGTTAGAAAGAAGATACATTATAAACCTTGTGTTTCTTATAAAATTCCATGGATGTCTTTAAATCAAGTTTCATATTATACCATCAACAGAATTTTAATTTTATGTCCTCATTAATTCTGGAATAAATTACATTTTCTGCTTAGATACACTGATATATCTCGACACAAAAGCTCTATTTTTATGTTTAATACATAAAAATAATCTTTTGCGGCACTTAATATCTACACGCACACATTCTTATATGGCATTGAATAATTATAAGATGTGGTATTATAAATTTTTGAACATTAAAAAGTAATTCTATTAAAATATTTGGAAAGTCATTCAAATTAATACAGTGAGATTGATCAATTCAAAAATTAGTCTTTAATGAAAAAGCCTCAACTCACTTCTCTATTCACTGTTACCTTTTTAATTCAAGCATATTATTTACTTCACATATACATAAAATAAATTTCAGCTATTATTAAACAGCAAGTAGTATAATAGCTATCCAGTTTCTGTTTTTTTATTTGATAATGTTTTTAGTTATGAAAACGTTTGCAACTTTTAATTTATGATTATTTTATATTTTGTCTATTTGGTATTTATAGAGAGCAGATTATTCATCGCAAATGCTTTGAAATTTCACGATGTTTATATAGATTGAGCTAAATTATTCTTGTAGTTGCCACGTCGCGGCAAATTGATCGTAATTTTCGCTTGCAGTCCAAGAATGTGCTTTGTAGCAACATGTAGTAAGTGTGGAAAGAAGACCTGGGCAGGTAGGTGCAAAAATTACAAAGTAAATATTAGGTTGCGGAAAACATATTGAAGCCACAATTAGGAGCATTCCGGAGCCGGAGAGGTGCATTTGTACAGACAAGAAATGAGGCATCCTTTTTCTTCAGATTTTATTTATCTAAATTTAATTTCATTTAAAGTTAAAATTAAAAATATTTTAAATCTACGCAAACTTCAATGTCCCAAGTTATCACCCATTTTCTCGTTGTTTTATGGTCCTCGCTCAATGATCTGATTAAACACGCATTAAATATTTGATTACGAAACCATTATTTCAAATACAGGATGATATTTTACAAAATATTACTATCACAAGGCTTAGTTCTCTTCAGTTGTTTGGTTTGGCTCTGGAGAGGCATTCATTGAGGGGGCGAAAGACAAAGCAAGGGGATGATTTCTTAGTATCATGTCGATTGGTTTGTCCCGTCGTAGCACCATGGCGTTCTGTACAAATCGGAGGTGGGCCTCAGCTAATTCTGAAATCACTTCTTGTGCCCAAGAGACTCTATCAAATCGCAAGTTCCTTCTTCCATTTTCCATCTGAAATTCAAGGTAATAGGAGTTTTCTGGTTTGGAAACCTCGACTGTTGAAACTGAAAAACTCTGAGATGCTCCATGTGTGGCCGGTCCACGATCAGAAAAGCAAACTGCATTAAGGTAGTAGTAGGGTATTACGAACATAACACTTGTGGCGTCTCGGTTATCGTTTCCAAACTGAAAAGGGAATAGCCTCCATCAAACACCAAGAGGAATTTTAGAATAGGCCATGGGTAGAACTTACGAATTGGTTTGCTACATGTCTGACACCCGATAGATTAAAATTCCGTAAGCACCAGATAGCCCGATTAGTGATAATAACACTAACACCAGCAGATTGACATTTGCATACACGGATCACAACTTCGGATCTGTTATTTTCAAACTGTTGGGATGAGGCTTTGAGCAATCGACTAATAGAGAATTCTGAAGGAATGAAACCTTGTTATTAAATTCAGATATGAAAATTTTCGCGCAAGTGTAAAATAAGAATTCAAAAAACCTTCAGAGGGTTCATTGAGATCTTCTATTGAGACTACAGCATTTGAGGATTGGTTCTTAAATGAGGTGCTCTGAGAGTGGGTTGCAATAACGCGACGCAATAACAATTGTCCAACAGCTTCGGCAAGTGAGTAAGAGCGTAGAGGAGTCGCCAGAGCTCTTCTTGGACGCATTCTAAGCGGGCGGCCGCTGGAAGATGGTCGAGCGGCTTCTCGAAGTGAAGTCATTGCCCCGGAGACGAGGTCAAGAACCCCACCAACTGGTTTGGTTACCGTACCTAACAGACCCCTTCCAACTCCATAAACGAATCCCTTGAAACTATCTTCTTCACAAACTCCATGGATAGGTTGAGTTACTATAGAGGTAACTCCACCGACCATTCCGTGGACAAATCCCCTTAATCCAGCTTTCAGAGGTGCAGACATTCCTCCTCCATCAACAATTCTTTCTGCAGCGAAAGAAGCTCCTTGAATTGGACGTCTAGTCTCAGATGACGCTGCTGTCAATTCAAACTCATCTAGCCTCTCTTCAGCCTGTTCATTGCCATATAAAGCACTGTTGGAGGAATTAAAGTTTGACGATGAAGCAAGATGGCCGACGGATCCTGCACCTTGATTTGGAGAGGACATAATAGCCATTCGACGTCGTTGATGACGTTCATCCATAGAGAGAGTATGAACTAATTGAGACATACTTCCTACAACCTATGGACAAAAAGAAACAGTTTATGAAAAACAGAGGGAGAAAAATGATCATACCTTTGCAGTAGAATCGCCAACTCCGTGAGCAACATTTCTAACCATGCCAGAGAAGTCCATATCAGCGAGATCGGATATACCTGAAGATAGATCAGACATAAGGCCCAGAGGATTGCCTAGCGCATCTACAGAACCGAAGATTTTGAGTGCTTGTGCTCGCAGCTTTGTCTCAAAGTGAAGTAGAAGCTGTTCTGTTAAGAAACCAACAGATTCTAGGCAGTGTCCGCGTTCAAACTCACCTAAAAAATAAAAATAAAAAACCTTAAGATTGGCAACTTGATAACCGTAGTCATCACTCTTGAAGTAATAGAAAGTATGGTTTTACTAAACCACATTCAAATTGGCAACCAAAGTCGTGTTCTACAGAAAAAATGGCAATTGAACCATTTAAGCATCAAACCTGAAAACCAATGCACGAAGCGGTTCATATAAACACGTCCAAAATGACGACGACATTTATTTTGAACCAGTTAAAGCTTTCACGGCACTATGCAATTTGATAGTTCTCGGTCTGGCTACCTTAATCTAAACACAGTCTTTATGATATTGGACAATTATCATAGAGATAAAATACTTCAACCTCTTAAGATATATTTTGTTACCGAGTAATTTCACTGTTATGGGAACTGTAAAAGATAACATGGAAATCAATATGTTACCGATTTAGATGCCAAATAAGACGAAAAAGACAGAAGCGAAGCAAATTGAAGGAAAAATATTAGCATTAATAAGGGGTTTTTCTCAAAGAAATGATGGATAATTCCAAAAGGGACGATGACAGTTGTTAAGAGAGGAAATAAACTGTATACTCTTTTATCAGTAATACGTTTAAATGGCAGGAACAAGGACAGTAGAACGCAATTAATTCCCCTTTCAACAAAAAGGACTTGGCGGCCTTGGATCAAGTGAACAAAGTGTTAGAAATTTTAACCATCTAATGTAAAATGAATGAAGGCTCATTGGAAAAAAATAGTTAAAATGCGTATATCGCAAAACGGTGGAAAACTGACACGTGATCTCGCATTTAATGCTGTGTTCAATAAAACGAAAATTACATGAATTTTACAAATGAATCAAAATGAAACTCTCAGGTGGTGTTAAAGAAACAAAAAAATATGTGCATGTGTGAGTTTGGATTCAAGGATGAATACTTACCAAGACGTAGATCAGCATCAGTGAAAGACATGAGTTTGGGTAGAAGCCGTTGAACGTCGTAGAATTCAGGTCCAAGACGTCCCTCAGCAGTATGTACAGTCACTCGAATGGGAGCAAACAGAACTCGCAGCCTATCAAAGTACAAGAAGTGACGTGATGAAATGGACGGTGGAAGAATCTGCCTAGAGTAACTACCCTCCGCTTCTAGGATTGTTTGATCCAGGAAATCGATTGACTTAGCATCCTCAGTGGATAAAATGGGAGGATTTGGATCGGAACCTCGGAAATGTCGACTGAATTGAATCAGCTTCAAAAGCAATCGTTCCTCGGCTTGGATTACCATACGATTTACTCGCAACTACAAGGAAATAAAAAAGCAATGAGTAACGCCAGCGTGCATGTGACTTTTGGCAGAGACAGAAAAAAAGGAGCACACGATAAACAGCACAGTTATAGGAAAATTGACCAAACTTGCAGGATACCGAGAAAATAAGATCAATGAAGCAGAGTTAATTCATTTCTATGAGAAACTTGCAAGGGTTGACTCGAAGTCATCCAATTATGGGCACTGCTAAATTGAACTCGAACAATAAATGTTTGGATCTTAGAAAATCAGAATACTCACGATATTTAACACACCCGATCATGTTCTAAGCTCTTAGGGAATAGTACCTCAATGACCCGAAAGAAGACAACCAACACAGAAACGACGCAGCTCAGGCTCCATGAAGCTAAGTCTATCAACAAACACATTCATTTGAATAAGATTAAACAAATTAGTAACAGTAAAACGGGAAACATTTATTTACAACTACATCAATGTTCTAACCTCTAACGAAGGAAATATCTCCGCTTTCCATCCAGTATGCAGGAGCCTCAAAGATTGCATCACAAGACTCGGATGGTTCATGAATACCGACTGCTCAGAAGTAGATAGAGTACTGGCTTTTGAATCTCCTCCAGCACGGTAGAAAAGTCTCTCCAGCTCTCTTCCTGGAACCCAATCACTTCCATCGGAAGCACGAAGTGATCTTCCTTCAATCACTCCACTAGCGGAATTCGTCGGGACGGAACGGAAAAGCAGAACCGGAAGACTAGATCCAACAATTTGATTATCAATTTGAACCCTTCCCAGAAACAGTCGAATTTGCTCTACAGGTCGGCCAGCTGTGACATAAGGTGCCAATGAATCATCTTCGATAGAGGTTACTCGTGAAAATTTAGTGAGATAGTCTACGAAAACCACGTCATCATCGTCATCTTTATCAACGAATTCTTCATCCCCTGTGACCTCTTGGCCAATATCGATTGTTGTACTGGAAGCAGTACTCAATTTCTGACCACCAACTCCAGGATAAAAACGTTTCACGGCAAAACGTATAGCTTGGAAACTGGTATAGCAAAGTTCTTCACTTCGAGCAGATATTATAGAAACTCCGAATCCATAAGGGAGATCAAGCAGAAAATTCATGGAGGTTGGAGGCATAAACAACCCAGGGGAACGTTTTGACACAACAGGGGTGATTTTATTGGGTGGTTCCTGTGGATCTGATATTCTCAGAACTCGAACTGGACCTTCGGTGATTATTTCAACTTGTAGAGACCCGGGGCCAGGACGTAACCATGAGTGGAAAACTCTAGCCGGACCAAGACTAATATTGGTGAAACTTTGAACCCCAGCATCACCACGATTAACGGCACGAATCCTTGGACGAGCAACAAACACAGCGTCTGATGAATGAATCCTTGTTCCACGCCTGAAACGTTCAGCTTGAACGCAAAATGACGCAGCATTATTTAGAAACCCTCTATTGAAGTTCCATGTTTGAGTATTTTTGCGTCGAGTTGAGAGTCGAGCTAGACAAAGAATACCGACTTCAAAGTTTTCTAGAGTTTTGCGTGAATCCAGTCCACATCTATTCAGCGCTTCTGTTAAGGTCGATTCCGAAGTGTCTATATCAAGTACCCAACTACTTCTTGTGGAAAGTACTCTTCCACGATGCGGCATAGAGCTTGGAGTCTGAGGAGCTACGGAACCTTCATGGACAAGGAAGCCTTGAGAGGATTTATACCAAAGTTGAGATCGTTCACCAGGACGTTTTCGCCTTAAAACAACATGACGTGATGGTTCAGTGATTACATCCAGCACAGGGAATTCGAATGTTCCGGAATCGTAGCTTATATCGAGGGGGTCTGATGGTTTAACATTAGGGTCGTTATCTCCGGCTACTCCACAGACACTAATGTATATACAGTTAGTGTAAACTAATCGAGACCCTATACCAGGTTTTGAGAGATCATACACATTACTTAATTCCCCCTGAAAATGTGAAATAAGCAATTATGAGTAGTAATTAAAGGAGACGAGATGGAATATTAAAGAATCAATACGATGACATACAGCAATTCCAACTGAAAGACGTGGTGGTAAAAGAGGTTCTTCTGGCGCGTAACTAACGATCGATCTTGGAGGAAGACGATTCAGGAGAATACTTTTATTCCAGCGTCCATTAGTTCCTTGAGTAGCAATGCCAGTCTCTGGATGGACATCCGAACTATTGTAAGAATAGCCTGAATCAGAACCAACAACAGCCTGTTGATAGTAAAGGGCCACAGGTGATCGATTTTCGATGCGGTAGGGAGGGGGCAAGTGAGTAGTATTACTGATGATCACGAAGAGGGTACCGCCTCTAAGTACAACGTCAACTCGAAGAAAAAGAGGCTCAGAAGGAGATGACCCAGCTTGAGAACCCGAAGGAAGTCTGCACAGTGTAAGACTATTAATATTCGACAAAAGTATTAGAATAACTAGCAAAAAAAGCATATAAAGGGAGCAAACAGGTTGAGAAGAGATGTTTTACATTCAAGATATGAATGTGAAAAGCGTTAAGTGTGTTGACTTGGTTAAAACGCCATTCTCGACTAGTTTTGCTAAGAAAGTTATAAATAACTTTTTAGCAGTGATTCATAATTCCAAAAGATAACCTTAATCGGAACTCAATTTGAACTCAAGTAAGAGGCAAAGAAAAAAGGGAAAGTATGCTTTAGCCTCAAGACTCCTAATGCTTCACCTCAAGTTGCACTGTTGCAAGGCTCTTCACTGGCTAGTCCGATTACGGCATTGTATGAAATGTATACAGCATAAATTGAAAAAGAAAATGGACGACTAACCTTAACATAAGATGATAAGACCTCGGTTTATCGATCTGTACTCCACCAGACCAGTTAGTTGTCACAAGAGGAATATTAGGTGATTCGAGTGGAGAGGGTTCACTAGGAATCAATGTTCGGAAACAGAGTAATTGATCAAGATCCTGCCTTGGCCAGTGAAAGGGTACATTGCATTGAGGATAAACGTCCACTAAATAAAAGAGAAATATTTAAGTTGGGGTTTACGATGGTCATTATGCACTTAGAGGCCAACTAACTGGGCTTATAATTTTTCAAATCGAGACAGAACCTCTGAGCATATTGAAGTTGAAAATCTGTTTGATTGCTAATTAAGAATCTTGGTACAAAGGTGACGATGGTTGTGGTCGCATGCAAGCCGGCTCCTTTTCGAACTTCAACACCGACAGAATAAAGGAGGTCGGGTCGAGATGATGTAGATGCATGACCAGCTTTCAATCGAAGCATTAATTCACCATCGCTCTTATCTAAGGACACAGGAGAACTCCATCTTGGTATCCAACCAGAACCAGCATCAGAGGGTTCATACATAGCCCCAAGACGAACTTGAAGGCTCCATGAGGAATTAGAATGAGTTCCTCCAGAAGTACCGCCACTACTACTGTTACTTGAACTGCCATGAGAAGAGCCAGTAGGAGCGACGGTACCTCCAAGGCCAAAGTCATTAATAGGTGAGAAAAGAAGGGGTGATGCGAGTCGCGCGAATTCCTGTTCTTCGGATTGACCAGCTGCGAGGGCGCGATGTTCGGACGAATTGGGCGCCCGCCATTCAGCTGTACAGGCGAGAGATGAAGGAGCTTGGGCAGCGAAAACCAGAGGAAGACCTGAGTGATTGACGAGCCAACATACAGCCGAGATGGTGACATGACGAGCTCCATAGCCTCGGGTGGAAATCTCGGCCTAAAATAGGTATAGAAGCGGAAAAAATCAGTTCGACCTACCGTTGTTAAATAACTGTAATAGTACGAAGATTTCCTATGTAAACATGAGATCAACACAGTAGAACCAGAGCAAAGTACTTATTTTGCTCACATGTGTTTGGTCTATAGGCCGAAAATAGGCGTACCTTATGTCTGAAAGGTCCGACAACGTTAATTTGCTAACGAAATGTTGTTGTCATTATCCAAACAGATCACGATATCTTTAATCTCATTTTTTTAATAATAAATTGAGCATTTTACCGAATGTATATTAGCTAAAGGTAATGTCTTTAAACACATAAAAGGAGAAAATTCAATGGTAAATCTGACAAAATGCATATGAAAACATCACAGGGCGTCTGATGTCTATGCACTTCTTGCGGAGGAAATAGCTAATCAGCGTCTGTTGACTTACCCATATTAATTGCAAGTTCAAATAACAATCCCATGACAAGCAAACAGGGTGGTGTTACAGCTGTACCCTTGTCCATTTAGCTCTTTCGATTTTTACTTTCAAATACATGCATTTACTGCATTATGTAGGCTTTTATCTACCGAACCCCTATTTTACAATAGGCAATGAAAATTAAATATTAAAATAATTACATATTTATTCCTTATGTATACCTTCACTTGATTTAACAAGATTTCATGCTTGCGTACGCATATTATTTTTACGTTCTAAATCAAACGTAAAAACAGTTGAGTAATCAGACATTGATGCATTGACAGAGCTGCTTATATTCATGCAAAATGCATAGAGCACAAGATTCATACAAAAGGATATTACAATTTGGACTGATTCGCGTTGCAGGCACGGTCTAAATAAGTATTAACTGAAGGGTATCTTATAGGCAAGGCAACGGCGAAAGATAGGGCAAAAAGGTCAAAAGCATGGAAGATTAACTAATCAGTAGCCACCATATTTTAATGACCCCAAGCTTCTCCAATAGTAGGGTATACCGAGAGAAGACGAAGGTAAATAGGCATGCTACCTTCCGTGGCCACCGATCTCCATGTTGACCTTATTGGTGCGTATACTATTTATTTATATCAAATGGCAGGCGTTTTGATAGCTATCATTAGCCCTTTAGTTGACTTCGGGCTTCACCGATGGGAAGGAACATCAAAGTAAAAAGGTCGAGATGGGGGGGGGGGGG